CGCTGCAGGGCTGGCCGGGCGGCACCTCTGGTCAGTGTCTGTCTCCTGACACGCGGTTCTTGGTTTGTTTGTTGTTTGTTTGTTTCCCGCAGCATTTACGACCTCGCGTTCAAGCCGGATGGGACCCAGCTGATAATTGCTGCTGGAAACAGGCTGCTGGTAGGGAAACCTCCTTGTCCTCTCTCCTCTTCAGCTGTATGAGCATGATTTCTTTCACATTAACTTATGAATATAACCTATCTGAAATCCCCTTATCTCTGTCAGTGCAGCCTCACAGTAACATACATATTAATGCAGGCCAATTCTAAAGTGTTTTGAAGCTTTTAAATATTTCTTACCAAGTTTTAAGCTCTATTTCCAAAAGTAATGGGATTTAAGTTATTTGTGTCATCTCGTGCTCCTGTGCGGGGCCCGGGTTTGAGGTCCACGAACCCGCCCCAGTCCTGGCGCAGCGCAGGGGCCGTGCTGGTGCGAGTCTCCTTAAATCCCTGCGGCCAGGCCAGAGGCTCGGACCCGCGTCCTGGCCGTGTGGTGACAGGGCCGCTGTGGGAACATTCCCCTCGAGCTGTCTCTGGGTCCCTGGGGCTGCTGCAGGAGCAGCTCAGCACCAGCTGCTCGCAGGTCCTGCGAAGCTTCCAGGTGGCGCAGGTGTAGCAGCTGCAGGAAGGGGCAGGTGGGATGGATGGATGGATTGTAGAGTTCAGCATTGCAGGACAACAGCTGTTATTTTCAGGGCTAACGCAGTCATGTATTTAGTGATGCTCCTTTGCAGTAATTTATTATGCTTAAACATAAAATGCGTAGAGAGATGTTTTAACAGCAAGATGTAAAATATAAAAATAAAAGATAAAAAGCCAATAAGATGTAAAACAAGCTGCCAAACAAGCTGTTGAAAAATGTCCTTTGTGCATGTTATTTTCTAGTACTGACTTCTTTCTTTCTAAGAATATCGAGTTACAGAAAGCTGTTTCTGTGCTAGAAAATGTTTTGTCTTGTATGAACTGTATGAAATCCAAAAAGCTGGCACAAAAGGAAGTGCATAATCTGCTGACCTTCAGTAATTTTATATCCCAGCCCTCACACTGGAGGTGTTTACGCCAGGTTGGATGGGGCTTGCAGCAACCTGGTATAGTTGAAGGTTTCACTGCCCCATGGGGGCATGAAGTGAGTGAGCATTAAAGTCCCTTCCCACCCAAATGTGGTTCTCTGATTCAGTTAAGGGGTTTTTTTGTGCAAGTTCTTTTGTTTGTATATTTGGATTGGTTTTTTCTCCCCATTTGAACAGGTGTATGATACTTCTGATGGAACCCTAATTCAGCCTTTGAAGGGACATAAAGACACTGTGTACTGCGTGGCTTATGCCAAAGATGGTAAATAGCACCCTGGGGCACCGTTGGCCTGGTTTGTAGAGTGCATCTCTCCCACTGGTGGTTGATTGCCCATGGAAATTGGAAGTGGGCATTGTTCTGGTCACAGCGTGGGACTGCTGGGGTTTGTTCTTTAGCAAGTGCTGGGTTTGCTGTCCAGTGGAGGCTGTGATCTGCTGTGCAGATCTACCTGCACAGGTACCTGTACGGTCACCTGTGTGCCCAAGAGCTGTGGTGCCACTGCTCCTCCTCTTTGACTTTAGTGTTAGCACTGGTAAAGAGTATATCACCATATTCATGGGCAGCGTGAGGAGAAGGCTCACCTCAGAGATTCCTGTTTCTACTGCTCATCTGCCTCTGAGTTTTATTCCTGTATTTCCTCTGTCCCAGAGCTTCCTGATCTCCTGATCCTTGATATGTTACCTGCTCAGTGCACTCTGCTTCCAGTTCTCTCATGGTCTACAACTCTCACTCTGTGGGTTGGGGGCCTTCCTGCAGCTGCTGCTGTTTGGGTGGTGGGAGTTGCTGTGACACTGTACCAGTTTAACTTGTTTCCCATCAATCTCCAGCCTGGGGCTGGACAGCACTGGAAGGACTGGTTACCAGCAGGGCCATGGAAATGGTGCAGAACAGCCACTGGAACTCCATGTGCCTGGGGAAGCACCAGCACATCCGGGACTCAGTGTCAGCCCCTTTATTACTTGAGCCTTGTCGAGTTCAAGAGCTTCTTGCTCTCTCTTTGATTGAGTATTTGGAGTGAAAGTGATTCTTGTATGTGTGGGATTTAATTTATCTCTAATTCCTAGGCAAGCGTTTCGCATCTGGCTCTGCTGATAAAAGTGTGATAATTTGGACTTCAAAGTTAGAAGGAATTCTGAAGTACACGTAAGTGATGCTGTTCAGTTCTGTGCCTCAGAAGCTGATTTTGATTATTCACTGCTGCAATTAAAGAGCATGAGCTGTTAGATTTGGGAGAAGGTTCACTAAGGTCAGAGAAAATGGGTGATAGGGGAGGGAGGAGGCAAAGAGCAGCTGAAGTATCTCAGTGAGGCAGGGAAGCAATTAAAGGCATAAAAGGAGGTGGGGAATTCAGAGAAATCTGTGATTCTATAGGGCTGACAGAGAACTAGAAACTCAGAATAGATCATAATAAAATTAAACATAGTATGCCCAGTCTTTATAATAAACCATAATTCTGGTTCAAAGATCAAATTGAAGATGGGTTTGTCACTTCTGGTAGATTTCAATCATTTGGCTCTGTTTTTGAGAGCCCTCTGAAGCAACAGCTTCATGTTCTCCTGAGGGCACATTTATCAGGAGTTGGCTGGTCGCTGCACAGGGCCCGCACAAGCACGCTTGGTTTAGGATTTGGTTACAGCCTTCAGTCATATTTTTCAAACCACTGTTGCTGTAATCTTGATGAAATACAGTGAATCCTGCTACTTGGAGACAGTTTTTACAAGGTTTATTACTTAATTACTTTACAGTGATAGCAGACTTTCTCGATGTACTATAAACCAATCCAATTATTTTGGCATCTGCTAAAGCTTTCAGCTCACTTGCTGAAAGTCAGAAAAGGGACATTTAAGAATGATTTATTGAAATCTGATTGTAACTTCATTCTAGGCATAATGACTCCATCCAGTGCGTTTCATACAATCCTCTCACTCATCAGTTGGCATCCTGCTCATCTGGGGATTTTGGTATGTCTTCTCCCTTGAACTTTTCCATCAAGACAGTGAATTCCATTACAGCTGGATAGCTTAGCTAACTACAGATAGGTACAGCTCTATGACTCCAGGAGAGATGGGACACAAAGCTACCTAACATTCAGTGATGTTGGATACTGATTTAAACCACTTAAACTC